CTCGCACTACCGGTATGTCATCGACTGTTGCCTTACCCTTATCCTGGGTATCCATGACATAGGCGACATATCCCGCACAACCCTACTGAAGGTAGCCCCTCGCTCTCGCTGCTGAGCATAGAGTCAATCCTCCCTACGGCCTCTCGCCTTGAATCACTAACCCGAATCCTCACTAACTGCTGCTCGCAGTCAATTACTACCCCATTGGGGATCAACCAATCCATACCCACTATAACTTTATTCCCTCGGTGAACTCTCGCAACCCTGACTGTCCTATCGCCTACTATCTCCACATCAAGCGGGATATCTACCTCTCCAGGAGCCCTGTGAATCGCTTGCTGAGCGCGAGCGACACAAAAGATCGGGTGGCACCCGAATCAAACAACTTGTTATTATAAATTTATCAGAGGGAACTATAAATTTGGTTTATATGTTTACACGAAAATAAATACAAATCCAAAAGTTTCCAATGAAGAGGTTTAAGAAACAAAGGATTATATGCAAGCACTAAAACAATATTATAACACAGACGGTTGGAAGAAACCATTAATAAATAATTATAGGACACTCACACACATACACTAGGGGTGGCAATCCTCGACCCAACCCGTAACCCGGCACTGACCCAACACGAAAATAAACGGGTTTGGGTTGAGATTTTTGACCCGCCAACCCACCAACCCGCAAACCCGTTTATTTCATAGGTTGGGTTGGGTTACCTGTTTGGGTTCGCGGGTCAACCCGCCAACCCGATTATATATATATATATATATATATATATATATATATATATATATATATATATATATATATCTATATATAATATATAGAGAGAGAGAGAGAGAGCGCTAGGTTCAGGTATTCAAAGTAATTATTGTGTTATTGTATGCATCAATGTAGGCCAATCATTTCAAAAGGGTAAATATGTAATCTTACATTTAATTAGTTATGGTAAATATATAAATCAATTAATATCCCTTTAATTTAGGAATATCAGTTTTAATTAAAACCCATAATCAGCCAATCGCAAAAATCAATTCCGGTGAAGGAGAGATAGCACAAGTTAACATCGTGAAGAAGCTTTCCATGCTCGCAGTCGTCGCCGTCATACTCTCGGCCGCATCATCCGTGTCGGCTCAGGCTCCTGCACCTTCTCCCGACGCCGGAGCAGCCTTATCTCTCCCTGCTTCTGGCTTAATGATTGGAACTTCTCTGCTTCTCTCCTTTGTCGCTATCTTTAGAAATTGATTTTCGTTCTTCTATTTTCAATGATTTGATTATTCATTTTCGTTTGCAGACTGACCCTGCTTCTTCGAAGTTTAAATTTTGGTGGTCAGGTTCGTCGTTTAGGGTTCGATCGGACCAATCGATTACACACCCCTGTATCGAGAACAGGTTTGATTTCTATCCCCCTTTCTTTATTTCTTCGTTTTATAAATCAAACCCCTAGCATTTTATATATGATTTACTTACCGATTTATGATCTTTTTCCATTTTGTAAGATGTTGTTTGAGTCTTTGAATGGTCTAAACATAGTTGGGAAGAATAGAAGCTTGAAATTATGCTCTAGGAAGTGAACCAGAAACTCTTATTAGGTTTTTAGACTGAAGATATATGAACGAGCAGTTGACCAGAACTTACTACCAGTAGCAAAGGTAACATATGGAAGAACACAAAAATAATTCTATGAGAGTATTGCACACCAGGTGTTTGTAGAAATGCCTGAAAGAGAACTTGATGTTCAAATTCTTGAAGAACACAAAAATAATTTATGAGTTCGTTATTTGTGTTACTTGATTTTAACATGTAGTATGAGTTCTCTTAGAATTACTAAAATTTGTTTTATTTTTGTTGTATAAAAGCATTCTCACATAGTTTTATTCTTACATAATTCAATTTCATGACAGTTATTCTCATAGAATGAATGAAGTACATGATGATCAATGGCCCGAAGGTTGGATGAATGTGTGTGGGATAGACATGAACAATCCTCAATGGTCACCGTTCTTCCACAAAAATGCACTACTCATTGTCATATTCTGTTAGATTAATCTATAATAGAATGATAAGAGTATATGTAATATTATATTCCAATAGAATAATCTACATATTATATTTGTTTGTTATTAGGGAGTGTTTCATTATTATAGAATAAAATATAAAGTTTTTTTATTTTTTCAAGGATGTGATAGAAAAAATTTAACTTGTATCTAAAAATTTGTTTATTCTGCGAGAAGTAAGACTATTTATTAGTTTATGGCTTGCATTTTCATAGAATATCATTATAAAAAGAATGTCATTCTGTCAGAATAAAACCGGGTATGATTAAAAATTATGTTAGAATTATTTAAACTAAATTAATTTAAAAAAAATCAGAATTCAAAAATTACGATAATCAAAGATCCATTAAAATCTGTAATTTCTTTTTTTAAATTTGGGTTTCCTAATTTTAAGGCAATGCAAATGTACAATATTACCCTTCTTTTAATTAAATGGCATTATTTTATTTTTCTTTTATTTAATAATATAGGTAAGTCACTTTCTTAAAATAAGTAAAATGATTGACCTACATTGATGCATACAATAACACAATAATTAGTTAAAATAGAATAACCTAAGCCTACATATATATATATATATATATATATATATATATATATATATATATATATATATATATAATTATTTATCAGTTTTGAATATTTGATTATCGTTTAATCGTTTCCCGAATTCCAAAACTGCAAAACATCTTTGAGTCGACTTAGCGTGCCCAAGCCCCTAAGAAGCCCCTAATCAAAAAGAAATTCAGTCTTCAGTCTCCAAACTCACGACTTCGTGTCTCCCGTTTCCGTCGATTGAGGCATCGAGTCATCGACTGTTGTAGTGTCGCACACACACCACTCATCGTTGTCACTCTTGTTTATGACTTTATGTTGAATATTTAAGACTTTATGAATTCATTTTATTTGTATTTTTTAATTTCATTTTAAAACGTGTTGCTTATTAAATGGGTTATACGGGTTGGGTTCGACCCACTAACCCACGAACCCATATACTTATACGAGTTATATGGTTGGGTTGGGTTGATGTTTTCAACCCACCAACCCATGACCCGCCAAACCACCAACCCATATATTATATGGGTTGGATTAGGTCAATGTATTCTGACCCGCCAACCCGTCAACCCGTGACCCGTCAATTCGAACCCAACTCAATTGTCAGGCCTAACATACACAGAGTTACATACATCAATATATACATACAAACACACATACATATTCAGGTGATAGATTCTAACAGCGCAATGTCTTTAATAAGTAAAATAAAAAAGTTAAAAGTAAAACGCTCAAGTATGTTAACCGAAATCAAACAGGTTTAGATTCGCAAAATACAAAGTCTTAATAGGTTAGATTTTTAAAATGCAATGAATTAAAATCTTAATAGGAAACTATAACAATGTAATTGAAAGTATAATACTGTAGTTGATTGGATTTTTAGAATATAATATCTTAATAACGAAAATAACCGAAAGTATTATAATTGGTAACTATAGTTAAGCAAGTTTAGATTTTAAAAGTAGAAAAACTACAATGTCTTAATTGGTAAAAAAAACCAAAAATTAGACATTTTGCATGTATAGTATTAGAGAAATTAAATATCCTCCTACTTTTTGTTCCTACCAATCCTCCTACCCATTTAAATTATGACATTTGTCATAATATTAGTATATCATTAAATATCATTAAATGAGCATTAAATGTTACACATATCACCATTTAATTGGGTAGGAGGATTTGTAGAACAAAAAGTAGGAGGATATTTAGGTTGCGTTTAGTTACGGAAAAACAATTTTCATTTTTTGTTTTTCGTTTTCCCTTTTTCAGTTTTCGTTTTCCGTTTTAGTTACAACTTATTCATTTTTCATTTTCAGTTTTAGAAAATTAGAAAACGTGTTTAGATGTGTATTTTTCTATCGGTTTTCATTTTAAGATAACGGTAGTGGTGGTAGGGTGGGGGTAGTGGCGGCGACAATTATGGTAGTGGTGGTGATGGTAGGTCGATGATTGTGTTAGTGGTGTTGGGGGTGTGTGTGTGTGTTTGTAGGTAGGGGTGGGGATGGGTGTGTGTGTGTTTGTGGGGGGTGAAGGTGGGGGTGGGTAGGTAGGGGTGTGATGGGTTGGAAGTGTTAAGGTGGGGGTAGGTAGAGGTGGGAATGGGTGTGTGTTTATATTTTAGAAAAATTTTGGATTTAGAAAAATATGGAAAACAAATGATTATCGGTTTTCCAAAAATTTCCAACTTCTTTCACTACAAGAAAATTTCGATTTAACTACGGAAAAATTCCGTAGCAAAATGATGTAATTCCGTAGCTAAACCTAAATAACTACGGAAGTTGCCAATGAGATTCCATAGTAAGATTTCTTGTAGCAAAATGTTTAACTACGAAATTATAGTTCCATAGCAATGCTATGGTCGTTGCTACGACGTCTATCCGTAGCATTTCAACTACAACACACTTCCATCACAATTCCATAACAATGAATTATGTAGCAAATTTCGTATCTATTTTGTTTCGTAGCAAATTTCGTAGCTAATTGTTCCGTAGCAAATTTCGTAGCCATTTGGTCCATAACAAATTTCGTAGCCATTTGTTCCGTAGCAAAGTTCGTAGCCATTCGTTCCGTAACAAATTCCGTAGTCATTTGTTCCGTAGCAAATTTCATAACAACTTTTTTGTAGTCAATTCCATAACAATCGTTCCATACCATTTTTTCTATAAAATTCGGTTATTTAATTTGCCTTATTATATCAATTTACAAAATACAATTAATATAAAACCAAAAATAACAAAGTATTTCTATAGAAACTAAAAGAAATATCCAATACATCAAAAGATACATATTTCAAAATCAAAAGTCGCTACAAATTTAAAATGTGTTAATGACATTCATTGCTTGTGCAAGTTGTTCAAACTTTGCTTGAACATCCACATTTTTCTACTAAAACTCCACATTCTTTTTCTGAGCATCCTTATATTTTTGTTGAATATCCTCATATTGTTCGTGTTGCGTCTCAACTAACTTCTTCAAATTCTCAATCTCGACTTTTGTCTCGGCATTATTATCCTCATATTGTTCGCGATGTGTTTCAGAAGATCCTTTACTAGAACGAATGCGCTTTCCAAATGCATATAATCTCTTTTTTCGATCATGTCCCCCAACAACATCATAAAATAGTTTGTCCTCATCATTTTTCTCTCCTATCGCTTCCAACCGATCACATAGTTCCATAAAATCATCCTATAATTTTATAATGTGTTGAGATAAAACTTATACAAAAAAAATCAAAATAAAACTTACATGAATTTTTTTAGCTTTGTCAACTAAAAAAGTCACTCCATCGTGATTCTTAGTGTGTGTATACAAGAATAGTTCATGGTGTGTCGGATCATGTCCCCAAAGCTTCTTCTACATATATACAATATATATATATATATATATATATATATATATATATATATATATATATAGATTGCTAGCTATTTTTACATTTAGGCTTAGATATTTAAAAATGAAAAAATAGTAACTTACTTTTAGGTTAAACCCTTTTAAAAATCAAAATGGAACTAGATTGTTATGATACAAAAGTAAATGAAAATAGATTGTTATTTTTTGCATTTAGGCTCCACTCTTTAAAAATGAAAAATAAAATAACATACTTTTTAGGATTAGTCCTCTTAAAAATCAAAAGGGAACTAGAAAAACTATAACATACAACTAAATGAAAGTACATTGCTATTTTATGTATTTATGCTTAGTCCTTTTAAAAATCAAAATGGAACTAGAATGCTATAGTATAAAACTAAAGGAAAGTAGATTGCTATTTTATGCATTTAGGCTTAGTCCTTATAAAAATCAAAATAGAACTAGATAATGGTATTTCTAAATGAAAGTAGATTGCTATAATATAAAATTAAATGAGTACTTACTAAATCAGAAGCAATCTTGGAATGAGAAGCCGGTCCACCGGTATGCGTAAACGAGATACATACTTTTTCCATTTTGATCTTATGTTGTAGATATATTGTCTATATCTTTCCTTTGCCTTATTTTCCCAACAAGCTTGGACTAACGGAATTTTTTCATCATCCCAATAGCACTTTTTCTACAATACAAAATATATAGATGAGTTTTTTAGTTAACGAATACCTAATAATTGCATAAACGAGATACATACATGAAACTCATCCCAATAAAGGAGTTTTGTCTCGTCGCTTAAAGTTGCCCAGCTATACCCGTTTAAATCAGCTCTTTCACCAAAGGATTCATAGATAAGGGAAGAACATGGGCCCGAAGGAAATAACCTACAAAAGAAAAAATTAACCGCATTGTAAAATTCATGAAGCTCAATGTTGATAAAAATGTAAGAATTTTAACTTACTCTTTATCTCGCACTCCAATATATAGACGCCCATCAAGTCCTGTAGATCCAAGTAAATACCCTTGATGTTGAACGCCAACATTTTCCTCAACCGATTCACTACAATTTGTTGTGGATCTAGGTACAGATGATGTAGTAGATGCAGGTGTAGATGATTGGATAGATGTAGGTACAAATGATTGGGTAGATGATGTAGGTAAGGATGACTGGTTGGATGATGTAGGTATGGATGATGCATGTGTTGATGATGTGGCACCAACATGTGAAACAAATGTTGGGGCAGATACAGTACCAACAGATGATAATGTGGTACGAGATGATGATGACGACAATGCTGATGTAGATAATGGGGCAGATATATTACCAACAGATTTTGCATCATCGGTGCATTTGTTTATGAAACGTACACTTGTATGTTGCTTTCGTTTCAATGTGTCTCTTAATAAGAATTGTGACATCTTTCCTGAAATTTTAAAAACTTAGGAAGTTATAAATCTATTTGATCACAAATATTATAGAAATATCTTACTAAAAATTTAAGCATACTACTTTTTACTTTAAAATACCAATGTACTTTTGTTTACTTATTTATTTTAGCATCCTACTTTTTACTTTGAAAAATACAAAAACTAAAAGTATAATGCAAATACTTTAATGAAAGTAGATTGCTATTTTTTGTATTTAAAAATGAAAAAAATAACAACTTACAATGTCATAGTAAGTATAAAAGATAAAGCACAAAGCTTAAACATGATGGTTTTGTTATCACCTGGATTGGATTGGATTGGACTGGAGTGGATTGGAACCTGGAACAAAGAAAAAGTTGAAACAGTTCATGCCTTTCATTAAAATATTGCATACATAAAGACTATTTGAGTATGATAAATGACCGTTTTACCCTTCACCAACTTAGCACATTATAACATAGTTCAAAAGAATGTTAGGAAGGGAAAAAGGGGTATCTAGATAGTATACACATTAGCTTATTATAGCATTCAAAATGCCATACATCTAGAAGAAATGAGGCCATTACTCAGATCATTTTAAACAAGAGTGTTAATACACAAACAAGATATAGGACCAAAAAATCAAAATTATCTATAAAATATTTTGAATTTTATCTAAAATAAAGTTAGAAAAACAAATTAAAAACTGGAACCCTGATGGATTAATTTCTATGGTTGCACAAAAACTGCAATTAAAATTACTACCATGTGAATTTCCTGCATTTTCCCACATGTTTCTCATTGTCTTACTGTTTCATAAACATCACAAGGTTTGTATAAAAGTGTATGCATGTTTGTTTGTTGGTAAAGAAACACCTAGTTTCATAATATTCTTTGTAAGAATCAACAATGAGTGATCCAGGCTCCTGCATTATCCAACAAGAAAAATCATTAATTGATATATTATGAATGTTGATTATAAAGATATTTCATATAATTGATATATTATGATGGCAACAGTAGAAAAATCATTAATTGATATATTATGATGGCAACAGTAGAATTTCAAGTTTCTGGATTAGATGACAACAGTAGAATCGCAGAAACAAGCATAGAAGAGTCAGGTAATTTTAAACCTAGAAAATTATATCAAATGGCAAGTGAACTTCCATAGTTTTGTGTGTTTTCTTCCTCTTGTATATCTGAACAAATACCTTGTATATCTCAACAAACATATTCCAGTTTCTGTAAAGTCTGTAGAGGAAAAATCCTCCATGACACCAAAATCTTTGTCTACATTTGAACTTTACTCTAAGCTCATAGAGGAACAAAGTGACTGGATTCAAGGACCTTCTGGTAAGATAAGAGTTCATTTGGCTACAAATATATTATCCAACAATGTCCATTAGGAGAGGCTAGAGCCCAGAGGCATTTACTTGTGAAACTTTAGATTTAAAATGGTATATGAGTATTTTACTTTTTCAAGGAGGAAATGTTGGGAATTGAATTCCATTGGTTTTAGGATGGGATGTTGGAATCCAATGGAATTCAATTACGTAATCATTTGCAACCAAATGTGAGATTGGAATGGAATTGAATTCCAGTCCATATAAAAAAAACAATTAGAACATGCTGTTTATCTAGCAACAAAATCTAACAGTCCATTTTGTTGTTTACCATGGCAAACTAGCAACAAAATCTAACAGTCCATATAAAAAAACAATGAGAATCGTTGCTCCTACTTTATCTAGCTACACTGTAGTCTGTTGTAGCCAACAAGACAGATGAGTACATGCTGTTTAAGCAGAAAAATTATCATTGAATGTATGTCATGAGTAACGGATTTATGCAGAAGGGAAAAGAAGTGGTTGAGAACTTGTGATAAGAACCTGTAGGATGTTGCAGTTTTCCTTGGTGGTATCTGCACACAGACAATAGTATGTAATTAATAGTTTCAACAATGTAATGATACAAAGTTTATGAAATAGATAACATAAGAAATAAGTTCATTGGTGATATAAGAGAGATCAATATCCTTCAAGTCATTGGATGATAGAAAGAGAAAATGGAGCAAAAAGAAGAGAGAAGAATGCTACCTGGTAGGGATGAAGACGATCGAGAAAATTTTCATTTTCCGGGAAAAGTTTTGAAAAATAAACGAACTAAACGTGTTTTCAAAATTCTTATTTTTTTTGGAAACTTTTTTCGATAACAGCCCATTTTTCCGCAACTAAACGCAAAAACAGTTTTCATTTTCCGGTTTTCGTTTTCCCTTTTTAGTTTTCGTTTCCCGTTTTCAGTTTTCATTGGAAAATTTAGAAACTGTGTGAGTGTGTGTGTGTAAGGGGGGGGGGGGTGGGTGGGTGGGTGGATAGATAGGGGTGTGGTGGGTTGGGGGTGTAAAGGTGGGGGTAGGTAGAGGTGAGAGAGTGGGTGTGTGTTTATATTTTAGAAAAAAATTGGAATTAGAAAAATATGGAAAACAATGATTATCGGTTTTCCGAAAATTTCCAACTTCTTTGTAATTTTATAAAACGGTGTGAAAAATTTAGAAAAAATAAACGAACTAAACGCACGTTTTCAAAATTCTCATTTTTCTTGGAAATTTTTTCCGGAAAACGGCCCATTTTTCCGCAACTATACGCAACCTTAATTTCTCATATTATTAAGTAATTAGCAAAGTAGAATTAGTTTCTTACCTTGGTGGCATTGTATATAATCATTTTAGCTTTTTTCCAGATTTGTAGGTGCTCTCGATTGCTTTAGTTACTCTAATAAATAGCCACAAAAAGAGGAATTGTTGGATGATAATAACTGAAACATGTAGAAATACATAAATTAAGATTCGTATGGCAAACTTTACAATAAGATTAAAATTGAGTAAAAACGTAAATAGACAATCAATACATAGGTTTGCTTTAGTAGCATGATGGTAAGCCTAACATATTAAAATCATGACTAGATCCAAGATTTTGACCAGATTTCTCTTATTAATAAATAATATAATGCAAATCCATGGAAGAGAAAAAAGAAACACAATAAACATTGGTTATTCATAAGAATGCTGACAGAATTTAAAATACATTATCAAACGATCAGCAAAACTATCCAAACACACCATGATTATCAACAAAATCATAGAAACACATTCTGAAACACGCTAAATCGGATTATAAAGAAAAAAAACCAATTAAAAGATTGAGAAGATAACCCTATGTAGTTTCCTTGTGGTGTAATTACTTTCAGTGATTGTTTTAGCAATGCCATAGAAACAAAAAGCATATTCAAAGCATAATAATTGTCCTATTAAGAAAAAAGATGAAAGTAATGCTATAATTGGGTAAACATATAAAAATATAATGTCGTAATAAGAAAATAGTTAAAAGTAGTATGCATCTCCCTAATATAGCATTGGCTGATCATTGGATATATGGTTTCATTTGAGTTTCATTGATTTGTGTTTTATAGCGTCCTACATTCATTTTTTCCTATTTTAACATTGTACTTCGAAAAATCTGCATAATGTCATCACGATACAAAGCAAATTTCATTATATATGATGCCCTAATAAGAAAGATTAAAAGTGAATGGAATTTCCATAATGCAATGCTGTAACAAAAAGAAATGGAAGTGGGATGCTTAATTGACCAAAATTATGATATTACTCTAGAAAGATAGATAAACCATTCATATATTGTTACTTAAAACTATTGTTGTAGAATCATTGATACTCGATAATGAAAATCATCCAATAAGTATTAATAGTAAAACAAAATTATTTATTAAAGTATTAAGATATGATCCGGTAACAAAAATTGCCACCAAAAAGAAGTAGATGAAATCCTTACTTTCTTAAAAAAAGAAAGGTGTAATTTCTAAATAAAAAAAGAGTTGAAAGGTAGAATGTAATCAAAGTGCATTGCCTAAAAAAAATAAAAATAAAAATAAAGTTAAAAGTTAATACTTAAGCTTACCTTATGCCCCCAAAAATCAAGTTACATTATATATATATATATATATATATATATATATATATATATATATATATATTGTTGAAACAAAAGGCCTTTACTTACACATTCGATGGATACAAGTTGCTTTCAAGACTTCCACCAACAACATTTGCAATCAGGTTTGGTTTCCATGGGGAAAAGTACTACAGCCCCCTTACCATGTAGGAAAAAGAATAAGTGGAAAGACAATAAAAAGAAACAAGTGAATAAGAAGAAACCTTTGGTGTCTCAGTTGCATAACAAACTGTAGCAACATCTTCTGGTTTTGGTTGGGTTTTTTACTTCCCTAAAAAGCACCAAATTCTTATGGCATAAATCATGAAAGATTAAGTCATGTTATCGGGAGATGTTTAAGTATGTTATTATGATAACAAAGACAGAGTTAGCCAAAATCAAACACTAAATTGTGATTCAACAAAAGAAGTTGAAGTTACCTGAATAAGAAGTTTTTAAAATGATACAACCTTAACCCCAGCCCTCCAACAACCTATATTACCAGTCAATATGAGTTCTTGAGGGTTGTAAAGAATCTTGAAACAAATGCTTAACCACTATCACTAGGAATCTCTTTTATACTTTGTAAAATCAGCAGTGAAAATTGCTTAACGTAGAGATGACATGATCAAGATCAACCTAGACGACATTGTCATAACAATGAAAGTAGCATGAGGGTAAATTAGTCTAATTAAAAAAAAAATAGAAGTGGTCAATGATTGGAGAATGTTTAAGTTAACAGTTTTTGTTTAATAAAGTTAGTGAATCTCTCATGTTTCAAAACAATAAGGTTATCGACCTTTTCACCCATCACTCCTACTTTCCAGCCAAAATTGATATTTTTGGACAAATTTACCCTTCATGATCAACAACATTATATTAGTATAGCGGCCATTACTTCCAGGAACAAATATACGTTTTTCCAATACAAAATTCATGGATTTACAGTAACAAAAGTTATAGTTTCTTCACCTTTGATCACAGCTTGCAGCTACAAGAATATGAGGAAGCTATACAGCTGATGGATAATAAAAAATTTGGAATTAGTATAATAAAAAATGGAATGAAATAGATTTGAAGAACATAAGTTTGTGTGCATGTTGTTTTTCACCTTGGTTGTTGCTTCTGAAACAGAATGAACCCTAATTAATGTCCCCTGTTAGGATGTTGTTGCTATGTTTGTAGCCAATGGGGATCTATGAACATCTCTATCTGCATTATTAACGAATCATGATTTCAAAATATTTTGGAATTAAGTGCATCGGTGTAGTGGCGATATCTGGTGATAAAATGTACTTAAAATCTTGAAAAATAATACATGTAGTGTCTACACATGAAATCAAACATAGGTTTCTCAAATCTTATAATACTAACTGATTTTGAAATCAACAGTCAAAAATTTTCAAATGATGCGGAGGGCATTTTCGTCTTTTACTCAGACAGAAAGATCAAGAGTCAGTTCCCATCCCAGCTTCCACCTTTTTGGTTGGGATATAAAATAGAAATTTGTTTTAATCATCGGATGTATGTATACTTCATCTCAGGAACATCCACACGCTTTACTTCTAAAACAAGAGGAATAAATAGCATACATCAATGTTGGTTTAAATGCAAGAAATAGCAATCTACTTTTATTGATTTGTGTACTACAGCATTTCCTATTATAGCATTGTACTTGAAAAAGAATTTTCATAATGTAATGCCCTTATAAGTAAAAAGTTGAAATTACAATGTTGTCACAAAATGAAATGGAAGTACGATGCTATAATGAACAAACTATAAAAACTAAGTAACTACTGAGAGAGAGAGAGGGACCTGAAGATCTATTCTAGGGTTTAAACCTAG